AGTTTGAAGCAGAGAGGGATGAGCTGGGTAAGTGGCAGGTCTTGTGAGATCAGGCAGTCATAATGGTAGCATGCTGTGCACAGACTGAATAATGCTAAAGTCTAAAGTAACCAGCACTGAAGACAATGTATAGGGACTATATGAATGCTAGCTTCTTGGAATTACTGCTTTATAATTGGGACGTCCAGAGGGACAAGAAGAAAGGATTAAAGTCATATCCTTTCCCCAAAATCCTCCCACATGGACTGGGGTATTTGGAAACTACGTTTTGTTAAACCCTTTTCCTGCCTCCCAACCGATTCTCCAGACTCCTAGTTCCATGGTATTTTTCTTACCTAGGACTTCCTCTTATTGAAGGTAAATGGTTACTCTCCCAGGGGTATAGATGAAGGATTCTACTCTATTGATTATAGGATTCAAATCTGCCCTATTGCATCTAGGAAATTATTTGTTCTATTTTAGGTCAATACCATACCTCTGTCTGGACCATATTGATGCGACGTGACCGTAATGCTTTGACACAATTGTAGATATCCACAACACCTTCCCTTTCTGCCATGTCTAACATGATATCGATCACAATGTAACAGCCTGTTCGTCCAGCGCCAGCACTATAAAGAAGTAGGAAATAATTTCCAACCCAAAAAGTCCATTTCACAAACTTTACCAACTTTCACTGACATTTACAACAAAGTGCCTGAAACATTTTGATGAAATGCAGAAGTTCTCATATATTTCTTTTCAGCTTCCCCTTTTCTCTGTATACTGACATTTAGATACTTATGAAATATATATAAAAGCAAAAGCAAACACTTCTCATTGGAACTCATATGTTAAGTAAAAACAATAGTAGTGAGGTTCCTTTTTATTATCTCAAAAGGTTTCTTTGCAGCCTAGGAATAGTAAGTACATTTTAGCAGACTTTTTATAGAGTCTGTTAAAACGTAAACTCTTTATAGAGTAATATTTGTCAGCTTCCCTAAGGAAGATCAAACGTGACTTCCCCCGTATAAAAGTTTTAAAACAAGATGGTTAAGGATGTATTTTACAGCCATTTTCTCAAACTCTTCAAACTCTGGTTTGTCAATTACAACTCGTTTGTGCTTTTTAAGCATACATAGGATTCTTCCCTGCTTTAGAAAAAAACAAAATCTGTTGCAGATATTTGCAAAGAGATTTCATGCAATCTGTACAGAATCTGCAGAATGTCATTAAAACATCTCATAATGTTTGAGGGAAATTATATTTCAATGAAATGTTCCCCATACTTCAAACTGCAATATTTGTAGAGGGAACATCACAGAAAAAAACCTCTTTGTAGTTATTGCCATGACATCCAGTATCCAGACTCACTTGAAAATATTGCTTCACTTTTACTTGCATTTAATTTACTTAAACTTATATTTCCTTAAAGTTCATTTTAAATCTCAAAGAAGCTGCAACAAAAAATGTCACAAATTTTGCTCTACATCAACTTGAACGATAGCTTACTGTACCAGTACAATCTGATACTGTTTTCAGAGGAGGGAGGGGGAAAGGGTTTTCTGTCCATAATACCTAGGGAAATTCTACTAGAATCCAGCTACATTTGTGGCTAGATTAGTCTTGCTTCCAGTCCAAACAAGGACTTGAAGAACCTGAGCCATTCAAGAAGTTAGACAACAACTACTCTACAACGATCAAAGATAACACCTAGGCATAGTTTCATATAAAGCTGCTGAAAATTCATCTACCTCTGCTTTACGCACCTGCAATGTACAACAATAGGCCCAGCACTAGGAGGATTAGATAATTTGACTCGTCGTATAAATGAAAGAAGGCCTGTAGCATTGTAAGGAACTCCATGATCTGGCCATCCAGTGAAGTGGAACTGCTTAACTTCACGGATTTCATTGTAACCTCTCTGTCAAGACAACAATCTTTTTTTCAGAAGAGGGTTTAGCGCTCAATATTTTCTCTGAATCAAACAACAACAAAACTGTTAAACAAAACTGTTAAAAACTATATGTGGTTTTCATAAAATATTTTAAGCAAAAACCCCATAGCATTCCTTCATTAAAAACTTATTTAAATATAGTATATTTATTAAGAACCATGACAACTCCTGGACCTCCTTAGAATATTAACGAGAACAGAAATGATTTCAAACATCTTGGCATCTTATCACAAGAGGCTCATAAAGATGACATAATATGTTTCCTTGAGAACATACTGTAAATCTGAAACCCATATTTATAAAATGATACTAGTTCCATCTACTGTAGATTAAAAGTCCCATTAATTTTGAGCATCCATAAAAGCAGCAGAATGTTACTGAAGTTAGTCCCATCTCTTACCTGATGCAGCAGGATATTAGAAACATAAGAACTGCCATACTGGGTCAGACCAATGGTCCATCTAGTCCAGTATTCTGTCCCCAGCAGGGGACAGCCTTCCTTCTGCTGGAGTCACTGACCTGCCACCAGTCAGTGGCTGCTGCCCACTGACCTGCCACAGGATCCTGGTCCCCACCTGGGCTTGGACCCATGCTGCCCTACCCCAGTCAGTCCCCACTCCAGCCAGAAAAAACCCTCCACTCCACCTCTAGCTGTTCCGACAACACCTTTGTGTCTGCCTTGATGTGGCAAGTCCTGTGTTCTACTCCCTGGTGTTTGTGACCAGCTAAGTAAGCCAGCAGTGTGTTTCCCTCCTCCCTCTTGTGTCTCTCCATGTTTATCCCCTGATGCCAGCCAAAGCTCCAGCCCCCTGTCCACCTCTAGATCCCCAGACACGGTTGCCCAAAGCACAGACCTCCTAGCTGAGACCTTCTAAAAACCCTGCAGCTGGTAGTGCCAGCAACTGAGGTGCCTTTGATATACTGGAGAATCATCCTGGCCAACTTCATCTTCATCGGGGACCTCCTGGATTATGCCAGGCAGCAGTGGGTGGATCTCTCTGCACTGGCCCAGTGTATGGAGATGACTCTGCTGCATGCAACTTATTGTTTACACCAGGAGGGAACAGGGTATATCTAGAGTGACCTATCCCCAGTTCATTACCCACCCTGGAATTCACCATCATTGGTTTAGAGATACCAGTAGATACATCTCTCCTGTTCTGTTTAACAGTTATTGATAGAGCTATTATCTATGAATTTGTCAAATCCTTTTTTTTAACCTGGCTATACCACAGGTTAACTGCCTTCCACGTAAAAAAAGTAACAATGCCTAAAATGGTCGGTTTCTACCCCAAGGAATGGCAGGTAGTTAACAGCAATATATTTGGTCCCAGAACAGATGTTGACTATCGATGAAGGAAAGGGAAAAGAAGAAATACTATTAACAAAATATACTAAGGTACAAGGGTTATGGTAATATACATGACAAGGAACCACTGATGCTGACATATTCCTCTTAAGGCAAAATAATATTTACTGCTTTATTGAATTGTAAATTAGGCAGGATGATTTGTTATTCTATTTGAACAGGTGCAAGTCTCTGCTTAGCATATTGAACTGCTGGGAAACAATATTTTGAAGACATCTTTCAAAGTACTTACCCTTTCAAGGGTGAATGTCCTGACTACGTATTCTGCAAGTGGTTCCATTTCTATGCAAGTAACTTTGAAGTCACCATAAACTTCAGTGTCATCAGGCCAGTACTTGTAGCACTTGACCTAAATACAAAATTAAAAGGTGAAAATTAAAGCACGAGAAAATGAAAGCAAGATAAATGGTAACTAAATATGCTATGATTTATTTACTTCCGAAATGACACTGCCATAACCTGATCTCCATTGGGGCTCACATACACTTAATACCAATCAGGATTTCCCATAATTTGAAGGAATTTACAACACATCATACTACTTTTTAAGGGTGTCTATACACATGCTCTGGGGTGGGTGGGAGGGGTGGGGTTTAATTAGAGTAGCTCTGAGAGCACCTATGTGCCTTAAATGCAGAGTTCCGTCATGTGTATAGGTGCCCTAAATGCCCAATTAGATTTCTGAAATAGTGAAACTGAATTCCTTAACTTCTGAGATAGGTGATTTAAAATCTGATTTCTACCTTATACTAAAGATACTGTGTGCTTGTTCTTTAGCCAGGTAGTTATGACCATTTGAGTAGGGGAATATACAAATGATGCTTATGTACTCGATTGTGTTACGACTTCTGGATTTAGGCAGCATCGATCTCATAAAAACAATACACCATCATCTGCTGCACTAGCTCTTCTTTATAGAGCTGTCACATTTTAATTTGCTATTTTAAGCTGCAAGGATATATGAACATAGCAATATACTATCTAGTCTCTCCATTTCCAAAAGCAGGGGTCCACTTGTCAAGACCCTATTGTTCCTTCTCTGACTGTGAGAAGTCATGGATTATTAGTAACTCTTTTATTAGGTTGTACTGGTTTTAAAATCAAGTTACTTACCCGCCCAACTTCAACTAAATTTGTAACCATCACAACACAAGCCGATTGCTCCTGCCATATCATCCTCCAGAAATCATATACTGTTTCATGGACTGGACCTGAAAGAAAACCAATACTTCAATATTATATAATAAAACAACAATAGAAGTAAATAGGAGAACCAAAATCTCTTTGCACAATAAGTTATTTGTTCATATTTGGAGGGGTCTAATAGTCCTTACATCACCATACTGATCACAACTCTTAAACTGTAATGTTATTTTGAATAAGCCCAGGAGTATCTCAATTTAATCAAATTACAACTTGAAAGAAGGTAAGTATTTGATCACTATGCTAGAATCTGAGATATATCCAGGATGGAACCATGTGTGTATATGTCCCTATTTTTGTTTTATTTTTAAAACTTGTAAATTAAGTTAATCATAAATTCCAGTTTAGGCACCTCGCAAACACTTGACAAAAGACCCAAACCTTTCACTGTAGGCTGCCAAGTAAGATTAAATACAACTTGCAACAAAAGGTGTGTCCAATATGCAACCCCACAACCTGAGGGTTCACAAGACTTTTCTGGGAGGTATGCTGGAGAAATTGTGTAATGACAGACTTAATTTTCATTATAATAATAATTGGCATTTAAGCTGTTAAAATATAAAATGTATGCTGGTAGGATATGTGGGCAGGTGGTAAATCTGGAAGGGGGTACTCAATAAGAAAAAGTTTGAGAACCTCTGCATTAGAGTTTATGACTGTATCCATTAGCTTGCTAAAACACAACTAAAATTCCAATCTAGATAAAAGCTATGCAAGTAGGTGTGTATATATATTAGACAGAGTATTAAAGACTCTGGATAGGGAAAAACAAAAGAACAACATTTTACGGGCCATTTTTTTTAAAACAGGCACCCATTTAAATTATAACTTTGCACGTGCAATCAAATATAATGATTAAGAAATGATCAGATGGAGGCATTTCATTACCTGGATTAAGAGCATAAACATTTAGCTATATGCTGCAAACCTATCAGATTTATGCCTGTAATTGATCGCAAATGCAAAATTAGAGGCAATCTTCAAAATGTATCCATATAGTATGAAATAAAAACTATTCATCCTACTTGTTTATTTTTTATAACTTGCATAGCTTAATTTCAGATGTCAAGGGACCCATTTATGCAGAAATTGACACCTTTTCTTCTAATTCTTCTTTTACTTGCAGAGTATTGAATTTCAAAGACCATCTCCTCTTCTCTAGTTTTGGCTTATCTAAAAAAACCTGCTGCAACATTATTTTATTTGCATTATTTATCCCAGCAATACTGGTCTTGGATGGACACCATGCAGTAGGATAGTATGTTGAATTATGAGAAGAAAACCCCCTCAGCCAGGATGAATGTTTTCTGTTTTTCTAGCCCATGTGCTTCTCCCAGGCTCACTTCACAATTGGAAATTACTGTGGTAACTAGTGGCATTATTGACTGAACTTACAGGAGAAACATTAATATGAGGAGTTAGTCAATATCTAATTAGTGTGACATATTAGTGCAAGTTTTCATTTATGCAACGTACACCTGGGTAAATTATGCAAAACTGCTGTAACAGAGAAAAATAAACAGCAACTGTTGCACACTATAAATCATACCAAATCTGGTACCATTTTGTTATGCAACAATACAGATAGACCATTATGGAACAGGTTTGTTGGCTGACATTTACTCGAGCAAAGTCTTACCTTGGGTTGCAATATAGTGACTTGGTCTCTGATATCCCTAAAAAGTCAAAACAGGTTCATATGAGTACTGTAATACTGACAAAAGCACTGGAGGCAGGGAGGGTAGGAGGGAGGAAAGGAGGGGGAAATGAAGGCATAATGGATTGCAGACATGTTAGTTATAGAGACAACCTTTTCAGAACAGATTAGTGGTTAAGAGCTGTATGCGCTCATAACTGAAACAAGTCTATTCAGACTGAAAAGGTTCAAATGGTTACAGATAGAATGGAAAAATTAACATCTGACTTGAACGTACATTGTACTGTAACAGTAAATATTATTTTAGTCAGGTCACTGGCCCTTTAAATTGGTCTTGTTTTGACATGTCTTCCCCTGCTGAGTGTACTGGATGGCTTATTTAAAAATTGGTAGCGAAAATGGCCTTTGCCTTCACAGTATCTAAAGAACCAGGCATTGTTCCTAATTTATATGCCATGAAACAAGTATATACTTCACATTTTCTTAAAAAAATTATTATTACTAATGTATGAAAGATGTATAGAAGAGCCATAAATAAATAAGAATAGTGGTAGAGCTGGACAATGTGTGCGTGCACAGAATCAAGGACCTGCTGTAACTGGCTTCAACAGAATTTTCTGCAGAATATGTTCAATGCTATGCAAAATATGTGCATATTATATTACATATGATACACACACTAGTATATACACACACATATATGGCAGTAAACCTATTCACAGCCAATCCCAACCAATTAGTTGGACACATCCCATCACTTTACAGTGAGGGTGGCCAAAATATGGAATAAGCTTCCAAGGGAAGTGGTGCTGTCCCTTTCCTTGGAGGTGTTTAAAATGAGATTGGATAAACACCTGGCTGGGATCATCTGACCCCAGCACTCATTCCTGCCCGGAAGAGGGGATCGGACTCGATGATCTAATAGGTCCCTTCCGACTCTAACAACTACGAAACTTGCTGTTCTGCCCACCATTAACTATCAATTCTTAGCATACGAACAAGACAAATAGACCTGCCTGACCTGTACTAAATCAAGTCTGGCAGATGGGAATTTAGTAGCACTAGGTTGCATGTAAACAATATCAAACATCACGCTGTACAAACATAAGAGAAATAACTCTTATTATAGTTTAACAAAGTATATAAATACCAGTACCCATTACTGGTACGGTGAGTCATGAAACTGAAGAATTTCCATGTATTATGAAGATTCATCCTCTCTTTCTGAGAACTTCTTAAGCAACTTGGCCAGGGATTAAATACTATCCTTTGGGCCTCAGAAAAAGACTTCTAAAGAGGGTTTTATTTTTTGCCTTGAGAGTGGGGATAGAATTATACTGAATATTAGGTATTTCCAAAAAAATCCCACAGAAGGATAATACAGTCTTCCATGAGGTCTTAATATTCAGCACCACCTTCAAACAACAGAAATAGAATGCATTCCTAGCTTCTTTATACTGAAATAATGCTTTGAGCAAAGTGCCACTATAAATATGCAGTCTCCCTCTTGGGTTATGATGAGGTGGCATTTATTTTTAATGAGAAAATAGTACCTTTGAGAAGTAGGGTTTATTATAAAGTCGTAGAACTTTTGTGGAAGTCCCTTGGAAAAATATCATTGGGCCTACAAATCACAGAGGGTGAGGTAAAAGGTCCAGTGCTACATATGTTATTGAAACTTTACACCCTAGAATATCTTAAACATTTTATAAAGCACTGCTGGAAGAAGAAATGTAGCTTGGTGCTACATACCTGAAAGATTATGAAACCCTCCTGTCCCCCCCTCAACCTGTTAAAACATACACTAGATATTGTGGATTACACTTTTTTAATAGGCCTTTTATTTACCCAAATTATCTCCTGTGTCTTTGCTTTCTTATCCCAAACAATGCCATATTTTGCTGACCAAGAAACATGGCAAAGATCATTCAAGTTTCTAGTGCCTTTAAGTTATTTCTTAGCAAAATGTGGAAATCAAAAATGAAATTTGAAAAAGAAAAGTTTTCTACAGATGAAATCAGAAAATCTATACTACCTCTCAAAAATTATATGTTTGTGTATATACTACATAATATCCAATATAGGGCACCTGCATAACAAATATGAATTAAGTATTCAACTTGTCTAGAAATACACAAAAGATGGCTTCTCTTTTAAAAATAATTAAAAAGTTGGTATTATTCTTACCTTCTTCAGAAGCACATATTAGAAATGCCTCTTAAGTATGTTTTCAGAACCACTACCATACAGCTTACTACCCAACTTTTCACATACAAATGGCAGGGGAAAACTAGTAACCCAGACCATCATAAAATAACATGTATGTGAACATCAATTTTTCTTAAATAGACAAGGTCATCTGGTTTATCTAACAATAGCCTGAGATATGTCAGGGCTAAGTACAGACAGTCAAAAACCCCAAGGCTGAATTGATTCAATATTCACAGGCTGTCTAAGCTGCCTAGACTGAACCGATAAGCAAGTGAAAAGACTTTCAGTTTTGATTCTGGAAATGCAGCTACATGCCTGTAGTGGCCCAGGCCAGAAGCCAGCAGTGCTAGAACATGCCTCCCTGCTTGGCTGGAGCAGACAGCTTGGCCCAAGTTTCGCCCATCCACCCTGTGAGGGGAGGATTTCAGGGGAGGTGCAAAGCATCCTGGGATGCTGAGGGACTGTGAGCTAACTTGAATCTGTAGGGGATCTGGGACAGAATTTCAGTAAACTGATTTAACCTAAATCAATTAAGTCTGATACTACATTCATCCAGGTTTATCTGAAACAGGTTTGGGCCATTTTGCAAGCAGTTTATGTGCAGTGAACTTCTGCTGTGGTACAGATATAAACCCATTTCTGGCCACTTATACTGGTTTATGTGCAACTTCTATCTCTAGCTCAAAAGTCTAAACTAATATTTTCATAAAGTACATACAAAAATATTCACAGCAAAGAAATGATAAAAACAGATGAGTAAATTAAATGAAGCATGCACAAATATCTAACAACAAAAATAGAAGTGTAAAGTAATTAAGAACAATGTCCATGTTAAATATTTATAATAGGATGCTGTTATTCACATATAGTGGTACTTACATCCCTGTACAGCCAAATCTACAGCCCAAACCAAAGTCAGATGTGAAAGAAAGCACAATAATGTCAGTGAGTACTAGGACGTAGAACAAGGAAAGTGTACATTTTGTTCTTAATTTAAAAGCTTTCAATAAATTTGTAGGCATGCAAATAAATTTGTAACATGCAAAAGTTTTGCATACAGAAGCTGCAGAGTGAGAGAAAGCCTTGCAATCCACTTACATCTATGTAGTTGGCATTAATGTAATCTGAAGAAGGATCATCCTCAACAGGTTGCAAAATCACTCTGGAGTGGTCATCTGTAAATTTATTATAGGAAACAGACCAAAAGTCTACTTTCATATGGCTCCAATATATGTGAATTACAAAAATATTATAATTTTATGGAAAGGCTTCTGGGAAACTTTTTTATTTAGCCTCACTGCTTGATATTTTAGGAACTTTAAATGATAAGGATTTGCATGGAGCCCTTTTGTTCAAGGGCCTCAACATGTTTCAGGCAGACAAGGTTCTTTGGGTGAATCTGCCTACACCCCTCAACATGTTTTACAAACTTTAATTAAGCTTCATTAATTCTGTGCAGGTGGCAGGTATCATAATGTTACACATGGTAAACAGGCAACTAATCTAAGTGACTTGTTCAGGAATTAAAGTTAGTGGCAGGGAGCGTCATCTAGAGAACCAGGATAGTCCTGGCTCCCACTCCTGCACTCCCCCACTGCTAAAGGTCATATCTATATCCTCAAAAACCTTCCAAGTGCTTCATGGTAACAAGCTTTCAGTTACTTAAATTGCTAAGCAGCTAAATCTGTGCCTATCAACTTTCACTTAGCTACTTCCCCAATGACATTATAATTACACATGCAACTCACTTTGTACAATAGAAATCAAATGTGTTCCTCCTGTGCATGAATCTAAGCTATCATAAGCTTTAAATCTGAGAACTAGAGTGGGGCTACTTGGTCCTAATCACCAATGTAAAACACACCAGTGCTAAATAACAAGAGTTCTGACACACTGGCCCCTGAGCTGCAACAAAAAATAAGGTGTGAATAGCCTGCTACACTTTAACCAAAAATACAATTTTAGTTGCAGAAAACCACCATTTAAGTAAGACCCAAATAATTTTGTTAGCTTGCCATTCTCAAATGATCACCACCACTTGCATATAGTTTGGTACAAACACAAAATTCTACCCACATTAGAAGGAGAAAATCTTGAATTAATTTAACTGTTGAAAGACAATGACAAAAATTCAAGAGACAGCACTGTAATTCTGTACTGAATGATAGCAAGCATTTAATTTTATAAGTGGATGTACAACTGGATTATGGAATTATGTCTTTTCAGTTTAAACATATATACAAGAACTACAGCAGTGCAGAAGAATTTCTATGAATATTACCAAACATTTCTCACCAGCTATCTGTGTACTTACATGCAATAATGTTTCCATATCGGTTCTTTGTTCTGTTTTGATCTTTTTTAGCAACATCCCAAGAAGCTGACTGCCCCTCAAAGAAACTCTATATTTAAAAAAATTACACAGATATGGAAAGTATTAAAAATGAAATCATTAAACTAAACAAACCAAGAATACAAACTACTCAAGATTTGGCAAAACTATTGCTAAATACATTTTTTTCTGCACAGTACAACAATTCTCTGCCATAAAAGAATCTCACATTTGAGGGTCTGGATACACACTTGCATCTTTGCTAGCAGAGATGCATGGAGAATCTGACCTGCCTTCATAAAATGTCTTATAATATATTTGTACTTCTAGGCTTTTTACTCTCATCTTACTGATTGCCCAGCAATCTGTTTTCTACACAAGTACTTGAGAATAGGTGGGTCTGAATGAATTCAAGTCAGCAAAGCCTGATGAACTTCATCCCAGGATACCGAAGAACCTGGCAGAGGAGATCTCAGAGCCCTTGGCAGTGATCTTCATGAAGTCACGGGAAACACGCCAGGTACCAGAGAATGGAAACGGGCCAACAAATGCCCCTCCTCAAAAAAGGCAAAAAGAAGGAGCTGCAGAACTGTAAACCAGTTACCCTCACCTCAATGCCCAGGAAGTTACTGGAGCATATCCTAAGGAAGGCCATTTGTGAGCATCTGCAGGAGGAAAGGCTGATCACAAGCACCCAGCACGGATTTACCAGAAACAAATCATGTCAAACAAACTTGATCTCCTGCCTTAACAAAATAACCACATGGGTGGATGAAGGGAATGCTTTGGATATAGTTTATCTGGTTGTTCGATGTGTTTATTAATGATTTGATGCTAGCACGGAAAGCTTCTTGAACAAATTTGCATATGACACTAAATTGAGGACTGCAAATACACTGTTGGATGGGAGTGCGATTCAGAAGGATCTTGACTGATTGCAAAGGGGAGCTGGAGCTAACAGGATGAAGTCCAGTGCTGACAAATGCAAGGTGATACATCCTGGGAAGGACAATCATAACTACACATTCAAAATGGGCAACACTTGGCTACATGGCAGCACTATGGAAAAGGATCTGAGAGTCTTGGTAGATCACAGACTCAGTATGGGTCTGCAGTGTGACACAGCTGCACACAAGGCAAATACATCAATAGAAGCATTAGGTGCAAGACACAAGAGGTGCTTCTCATCTTGGCACTGGTTAGGCCTACAGTACTGTGTGCAGTGCTCTCCACAGTTTAAAAAGGATGTGGAGAAGTTAGAGAAAGTTCAGTCTGGCAACAAAAATGATAACATGCTTGGAAGACAAGTCATAGGAGGAGAGCTTAAAGGAAACAGGCATATTTAGCTTGTGGAAAAGGTGCTTAAAAGGGAACACGACAGTAGTCTTCAAATATCCTCTCATTACTTTTCTTGAGATTCTCCCACTATTGAAGAAATATCACTGTCAAATTCTTTTTCTTTTTTTTTTTTTAAATCTCATTACACTTGGTATAGTAATCCAGAACACTCATGTCAAATATGATGCCATATTAATAAGGTACTTTTTCTGGTAAAATAATTAATTAGTAAACCAGTGAAATTTTACCTCATATTCCTCTTTAAAACCATAACTGTCCGATGTCTTCATTAGGTTAATATGTTGCAGCAAATCAGCTACTCTGATAGCTGGGTGCAGCTGTCCAGTCTGGTATGGGGACTCTGTTCCTTCACATAAGTAGCGGGGAACATCTAGCAGACGACTAGATTCTGCTGTCGCACTGTGATTCTCATCTGTGGTGATAAGAAACCAGAGACTTGGATATCAGTTAGACTAACAATAGTATATGTCTTGAATATGTAACAGCTACAGTAGAATTTTAAATCAGCTATTGAAACAGATATTATGCTCAACTCCTCCACCCAAGCTTATGAAAGTACAAGTTAGCACCTAGCATATTCTAGGTGTTAAATTAATATATGTATTTATTTATTGGATTGCTCAAATTGAAGTTTGCAGTTCTCTTTTCTGTAAAAATAAATGTCTAGGGGTACCTTCTCAAAAAAGTTACACTATTGTTTCTAATGGCCTTTATTTTTTTTAAGAAACGCCATTCTTTTGGTGCCATTGTAGAAGTTAAACTTGATTTAAAAAACCCTACAAACATATATAAAAAGATGGTAATACTATACAATAAGCAATTAAATGAGGCTATTTTCCTAATGCTACCAGTATATCATGACATTATATCCAGAATCAGTGAGTTCTGATCCCAAAGAGAGAAACATACAGAAGAAGAAACACCATACATTCCAACACATACTGTTCATCATAAACATTATTTCGGTCTGACTTCAAATTCATCATACTAGTAGTAATGGAGGTGTTAGTACTGCCATTGTGTATTCAACAGAACAGATGAGCCAGCAAGTGTGCTAGTTTCAGCAGGGCAGTCTCTACTTTAAATAATGGGGGCTCATGTATATGCCACAATTTTTCTCTTTCATGTGCTGCAACTGCGTGTCTTTTACACAAGCGGGATTTCCCAACACTTTAAAGTCTTTTTTGTGCATTAAAATAAAACTCCTTGGACATAGTTTAGTTTGGCTCGCTGGGAATTAGTGTCACATCCATGGATTCATCGTGTGCAAGCACAAAGGTGCTCAAAGACATGTAATGAGCCTCTTTGTCCATCAGACAGTGCTGCAACTTTTTTGTAGTTCACCCCTTTGAATTGCTTTTGCTTTTTTTTCTTGTATGGTTTGCCAGCTCCTTGCTTCCACAGCTGCACGGCAGGGCATGGGTATGGGGTGGGTGGGGGCCCTGGGCCATGGGGGAAGCACTGGACTGTCCTGGTCTTCTGTGATGCCAGCCAAGGACCCAGCTTAATTACTTCAAAAACCTAGTGCATGTAAACACAGATGCAATGCTCTAAGGCTTAATTGTTTTAAAACCTAGTGGATGCAAACATAGATGCAATGCTCCAAAATAAAGAAGTTTAAATTTTATAAACCTATTTAATTTAATGAGGATAACAACCCGTGGTGTGTACAGGTGCCCTGAGATGCTATTTAAGAAACCAGTTTTTAAAATTTGTATTAGTATTTAACAACTGTTCTATCATAAAGGATTCCAAAGCACTTCTCAAACTTAAACTGATGTAACAGGCTCAAATGTAATCAACCCGTTGCTTAAATGCTGCAGTTTTTAAAATCCTACTGACTGCTTAGTCTTGGAAGAAAGATTTTTACTGAAATAGGGGAAGTATTTAGGAAAAGTATCATTGCAGAAAACAAAATTTGGATATTAGATTATTCAACATGTGTTGCTATTGCTTCCCTACATTCTTATTAAGAAAGAGTTCACTTATCATTGAAATCACTGCACTAGTGATCTAACATGTTGCTTTGTTCCTTGTTCCTCTCAAATAATCAAACCCTTCCCCCAACAACAACATTTTAAGGTTTGGAGAGGGACTTAAAAATTCTCTATAGGTTTCCCAAAAGTACAAAATCCTTGCTGTCTTTATCAAAAGAAACACTAAAGTTAGTAACCTAGCTCCTTAAGCTGTCACACATGAGTTGCTAATTTCAATACATTTATGCCTCATTGAATCACCTAATAGCATGAGTGACATGTACCAGTCACTTTTTACTATGGTATTATACATATTAAACCATACACATCTCAAACAATCTCTTGATTTGCAGTTCTCCACAATTCCATGCAGTGTACTTACCCGTAATAGGTACTTTAACCCATTGAAGCAGTAAAAAACAATGAGTGAACAGAATGTAAGACATTTATTTTAAGTCTGTATTAGATTAGAAAATGACTAAAAGAAAAATAGCATTAAAAGTTGTGGAAGCTTCATAATATGCAACATTTAAAGTCGTTTCTTCAATATATGAGTGCTTTCATGCCATCAAGTGAAATGATAAAGACTTAAGAGCAAAATTACCAAAGTAAGTTGCTACCAATGTACATAGAATGCAATGAGATATTAATATTCTAAACATGAAGAAAAGGATCACCCAGTACAATTACAATCTAATAGAAGCCTCAGATAAAATAAAACTAATTTCCTATAGTTTTGGTCCCATAAAATGCTTCTCATCTGTGAAAAGTTTACTGTGATGTGAATAATACATAAACTACAAAACTGCCCTTTGATTAGCCCATAGGCCTTGTTCTTCATAGTAGTATGTTAGAGTATAGTCTCAATAGATTAACCTTTCAATATCAACTATGTGGTTCCTGTAAATGAATCTGAAGTTTCAGTAGCTCTGGTGACATTGAAAATATTATTGGACCCACCACTAGTGGTGGGATAAACAGCATCAGGGAGCCATGTACATTAATACAGCTGTTACACATCCTCAGCTGGCAACATCGCCAATGGGGTCCACATCCCAGATTTAAGTAGCAGACTATGTCCCTATTTGCCCCACCTCCTAATTTCCAGCCCCTCTAGGAGTCCTGCAGGCCAGACAGTATGGCTCTGTGGCTTGGATCTGGCTTGTAGGCTGTATGTTTGACATTCCTGGTAAAGAGAACATTATAGTAATGGGTATACAGGTGGTTGAAAAACCCGACTCAGAGTAATTATCAATGGTTAGCCAGGAAGACTTTTCATTAGGATCTTCAGGGCTTTATCCCTGGACTACCCAATATTTTCATGTAATGACTTGAATTATAGAAGTGTGGTTAGAAAAAATGCAAAAGACATCAAGCAAACACTTTGGAGGACAGAAGCAGAATTTGAAATGATCTTGCTAAATTGGAGATACAGGGCAAAATCAACCAAATTAAATTTAACAAAGACAACTAAAAAGTGTATTAACACTTCCAAAGGAGAAATCAAATGTACAGATACAAAATAGGGAGTTACTAGTTAGGCAACAGTATTGGGGTTTACAGTGAATCACAAACTGAACGTGAGTCAACAGCATGATGCAGATACAAAAAGAAACATATCCCATTTGAGGATGTATTAACAAAAATGTCATATATAAGAGAAGGGATGGAACACATTCTTAATATTAGTTCAGAGTCCCAATGAGAGCAATAAGAATGTTAAAAATCTAAAAAATAACCTACGAGGAAAGGTTAAATAATTTGGATTTGTTTAAACTGGAAAATTGAAGACAAGGTAGGCAGTGTGGACAAAGGGGACTGGAGGCCTTCCCGTATGGAAAGAGCTGTTATAAAAAGGATAATAATGAATTGACATCCTCCATGTCTACTGGGGATTGAGAAGGAAGAAATTAGTTTAATTAGCAGGAAAGTTGACTGAAGTTAGGTATCAGGGAAAAACTAACTCTAACAGTAGTAAATCACTTGAAAAGATTACTGAAGAAGGCTGCGAAATCTCCCTTATTGGAGGTTTTTAAGAACAGGTTAGAGAAACATCAGATAGGAAAGGGTTAGGCATAGTTAATTGTGCCTCAGCAGAGTGAAGGTGGAGTATATTACCTGATAGGTCCTTAAAGCTCTAAATTTCTATTATTTTAATTTCCAGTCTAAATGTATTAATGCATAATACATAGCCATTTATTGTCCTTATTAATGTAACCAGGGTAACTGACGGAAATATAATACTATGCATTAGATTTTATCACACCAGGAAAAAGAATAAACTAATTTTTTCCACTACTTTTTATAATCCTTCCGTAAAAAAAGTAATTTCTTTAATGCTGTTTGTAAGGCAAAACCCCCATATGCCTGTTCAATTTTTAAAGTTACTCCAAAGTCAACGTAGCTATCACTCAGGGGCATTTGCAGTTACACAAGGTCTGGAAAGCACAAATCAAGATTTTATTAATCTTTCCTGTCTGTTAGGTATTTTAAACTTTTTTCTACTTAATTATTACTGTTCCTGTTTAGACAGAAGACGGAGCTTTGGGTTCTATCTAAACATAATACATTTTTTAATGAGGATTCTGGCCTTACAGAGTAATTCATCTGAATTAGTTCTAGAGCTTGAGGGTGGTAAATCTCAGTAATGTTTAACAGTGGTTTCATTTAGCTGCTATTTAGTTTGCACTGGGAATAATTTTAGATGCAGAAATTAAAAACTGCACTGTTTTTGCATGGCATATAAGCCAACTTTAAGTCTGAATCAATAAACTGGGTATAGAGTTGAATATACCTGCATTGTCTGAAAAGAGCCTAGTTTTTTTATTATCTAAAACAAGCTGCTTCACTACTACATACAACATATTTGTTGACAGAGATATAAACCATGCAGGGAGATGGAAGTCCATGCAGGAACACAGATGAAGGACTAGGTCCTCACCTAACACAGCAGTCGGCACAAGCGGATCATTGGGCGCTGTAGGAAAACAAAGCTCATGAAGAAATACATTACCCTCAATTTGCATCTTTTTAAGCAGCAAAACAACACATAGAGAATAATAATACAAAGTGAAACTCTCATTCATTTTGTTACAGAATACTAAAAAGAAGAATAAGAATGCACAGTTCCCTTTTACAGGACATGTCCCATAGAAGTGAGGTGAAAAGCTACCTGGCTCTATGCAATACGTTTTTTTTACTAATATCTACAACAAACTAAACTTCATTTGCAGTAATATAGGCAGTGATTTGGGAGTTCATAAGCATAACAAATTAAATTCCTATTTGTAATCAAGTTCAAGAGATATTGCATACACTTAATTTAACAAATCTTTTATTCTTGGAGGGGGCTTTCCCTCACTAATCTTTATGGCTAAGTACAGACAGTCAAATGACCAAGGCTGAATTGATTCACTCTTCACAGGTTAATCTAAGCTGCATAGATTGATCTGATAAGCAAGTGAACAGATATTCACTTTTCATTTCACAAATGCAGCCACATGCCTGCAGTGGCCCAGACCAGAAGCCAGGGGGCGGTAGAGCTCCACCTCCCTGCTCAACTAGAGCAGACAGTCTGGGCCAAGGCTAGCCCCCAGGCCCTGCAAATGGGGGCTTGTGGAGGAGGTGCTGGGATGCTAGGGGATTGTGAGTTCACTTCAAACTGGAGGGGTCTGGGAGAGAAGTTCAATAAACCGATTTAACCTCAATTAGTGAAGTCTGATACTATGCCCATCCAGGTTTATCTTAAACTGATTTCGGCCATTTTGAAAACAGTTTATGTGCACTGAACTGCTGTTATGTTATATATTTGAACTGGTTTCCAATCACTGATACCAGTTTGTGTGAAATTTCTGTCCCTAGCCTATTAGCACTGAAGTAATGGTTCACTAATATAGAACTAGGCTTTCCACTTTACCCCACACCTTCCTTTAACATACAATTACCCAGCTTCCCCAATCCTAAAATAATATGGTGTTAGAAAGGTTGCCAATTAACTTAGAAAAATACATTAGAATGTGTAGCTAATAGCATCATTATTTGCAGAACTCAAGGTACTTTTTACAGCAGATACAGGGAAAAACAGAGATTCTGTAGATGCTAAAATAGTGGCACCTTAGGCAAATCTGGAAGGATTTTAGGGGTCACAATTAGAGGCATGCAGAGAAAGATATTGAGTTCCTCTGTGAAACAGATATTTCAAAATTTGGTTTCACTCCAATTGGGCATAAAAAAACAAACGCTGGAACTCCTCTGAGAGAGAGCATGGAGCTCTAGATTGCTCTTCAGAGCAGGGGACCAAAGGCTTCCGGCCAGCCTACATGATGGGGTGCTTGCGGGCTGTGCACCCTGGAAGCTGCAGGAGCTGAAGTATTGGGAACTTTAGAACCAATGCTACCAGTTTCCCTGGCAGCTGACTAGGTGAGCTCTGGAGGAACTAATGAGCTGACATCTCTGACATCCAAATGTTTGGCTCCACCTCAGCCCATCAAGAGGGCTGCCAAAGAGCTGGAAGCCCAGGAGATGAGGCTGGCAGGTAACCAGGCAGGTTCATGCCTGTCTAGGTTCCACTGAAATTTCAAAGAAATTGAACTGTTTCTGTAAAATGTTTGGAAAATCTTGACAAACTGGCAATTGTCATCTCTAACCACCATGATACACCATTACTATTAGACTACTTTAACTCCATATTCAATATCTGGCTAGTGTTAAGCTACAACTGAACCTGAAGAGAATGTTCTTATGTCCGCAGGATATGATCTTCACTGAACATCAAGATCTCAAGGTACCCCCAAATCTCATTTCCTACATAACACAAACCAAGACAGTTTCTACTCAGAGGTCTAACTGAGGGTTCCAAGAAAAAAGGAGTCATAGAGTCATTAATTGTAAGGCCAGAAGGGACCTCAGAAGATCATCGGGTCCAGCACCCTGCACCAAGCAGGAAAGATAACCAGGGGTCAGGTGACCCCAGCAAGGTGACCATCCAGTCTCCTCGTGAACTTCCACATGCACACTGCTAACGGACGCTCTGTGCCCACACACAGCCTTGAACTCTCAACCTTCAGGCCCAGAGCTCAGCATGCAAACCCCTAAGCCAGACAAAAAAAACAGGTATAACTTTTGATATCACCATGGCCTGTTTTTATCCCTTCTGACAATATTAAGGGGACCTAATGAAACAAACCAAAGAATCACTTTTATGATCACTATTCAGTTCTGAAACAAGTTATGTAATAATGGTACATTGTAATATAGGCCTGGATTCAGGAAAGAATTTAAGTACATGAAATGCTGATTTCAGAAGTACTTAAGTGCTTTATGGAATCAGGGTTATGATAAAGTGGAATGATGAGGCTGGCATAAAACTAAACATTTCAGTACGAACCTTTCTCCTTTCTACACAGAGACACAAGCTTATTACAAACCTGGAGATACAGCAGCAGATAGCTTATAGAATCATTGTTCCCTTCTATTATAATCTACTCAGAAATTTATTTGAGGCTCATGCTCTCGCAAACAAACTAACTGGTTACAGTTATAACATGGTGTACAATAGCAATGATTGAATATTTTCAATGAATTTTTTTGAGTGAATATTTCAATGATTATTTTCAATGTAGATATAAAAATGGCCTAATACAGAAAAAGCACATTTCTGAGGTAATGCAAATGCAGAATGTGTACTAAATGGTAGTAACCAAAACTAACTGCAAATATGTTAAACAATGTATTTCTAGGAAAATGATACCTTCCATCCATATTACCTGAGCATTCCTTTCCAAACCCTTGTATTTCCCTGTAAAATCCACTTACAATGGTTCTACATGCAACCATCCTAAAATGGCAAATAAGGTGCTTTTCCTATTCCCTCACTTTCAGCTAAAATCTTTACCTGCAATATGTAACATTGCTTTACTTACATCTTGGACTAAAGTTATGAGAGTCCATGAACGTGATTGAAAGAGGATCCTCTGCATGAAGGGTGCTCTGATCAGCATAACTCCTATCCATCGCATTCACCATGTGTGTCATCTCTTGCCTGGTGTTCCCCATGGCATCTTTTCGTTTCTTAGCAAGCTTGCTGCCCAGGCAAAAAACAATTAAAAAAAACCCCTTAATACTAGAAGCATTAATAGCTGCAATAGAAAATAATGATGGTGCTTAAAGAGCACATGAGTAAGATGCAGTTGCAACAATGTCCAACTTGATATTTATACAGTTATACTCACAGCCATAGGAAAAGCATACTTGCGGATATTATGGTCAGAGGCATAGTTATGCTGCACAACTACAGTGATATGAAGATTCCTATTTTTCTATGCAGTAAAATATTTTTCCCAGAGTAATTATACTATAAATACATTAAAATATAATTAACTTTTAATTAAAACTGTAAATAAAGAGCATCTGTGTATGCAATGTTATCAACCATCTCATTTAAAATTGTTTTGATTTTATAAATGGATAATTCATTCCCCTTGTTTTTCCTGTTCAGGAGAAATCATTTTACCAATTAAATTACTTTAATAGCCAAGACATCCAATGAAATAACAGAACACGCATAATTATTCAATGCAAATTAATGTTACCTTCTGTGTTTAATAGTGCTCCTTCTGTTTATAAATGAAATCCAAAAGGGTGTATATTTCCTCATTTTACCTGACACTACTTTTTTTTTTCCTGAAAGAAAATCCGTGTTCTTCATGTGTTTTGAGGTCAGTACAGACTTTTGGCATTAAGCACCTTGGACTCTCTACATACCACAATCAGGTTTGTAACACCCTGAATTGTATTGCTAAAACCAAAATTTTATTGCTACTACCTTTCAATTGCATGCTAAATTTTCTAATACACCTTCCTTTTGAATGCAGCATCAGAAGTTGCTTACTGACACTGGAGGCCAAAACTAACATATATTGGTAGTCATTTTAATACTACTTAAAATCACTCTATCGGTGTAACAGATATGCTCTTTGGTTCCTTAGGAATGCTCTACAGGCATTTTATTATACCAACAAATATACAAATCTTCAAAATTTTAAACAGTCACAACTATAGATCAAAGCAGCATGATAACCATACTTGCATATGCTAGGAAACCATCTGTCATGCTTTCCTTGGATGAGCAACAGATATGAAAAAGATAATAAATATAACAACTATGGTATTTTAAAAAATCTCAAGTTTAAAGTGCAGTTGAATTTCAGGGGTGTAGGCTGTAGCCCAAAGAAGCTTGTCTGCCTGTTGAATTCCATGAGCTTTTCCTATAGAAAGCAAGGTTTATAATACTTGTTAAATGTATTTTCAATTTATATATATAATATTTCAACCATATAAGCATTGCTGGCTACTTCTGGGTGGGCTGCCAAATTCTAATATTCAGTACTTCCACATGAAGAAGAGGTAAGAGATTAACCACTCCTGTAAGTTACTTATAATGTTATAACTTTGGTGTGTGCTGAGATTTCCCACAGATCAGAAGGGGGAAGTGATCTCCCTAGGTCTCTGAGAATAGGAATGGGGATACATTACCTTTATTGTCTTTGCCACCTGGGGGCAATCTGTGGGAGGGCTGTCTTTCACGTACACACAAATGTAATTCAGCTATTTACGGTGCACTGAGAAGTGCCATTGGTGGACAAGACAAAGCTGACTTAAGAACTGTTGCTTAAGTGCAGTCAAGTGATCAAACAAGAGTCTTACATTAATCAAACACTTTGCTCTCCTTAGCATTTTCATCTTAAAAACTACCAGTTAATTAAGGAAATTTTGAAGGTTGCCCCTCGAGACTATTCTATTTTAATTAAAACCTATGGGTCAAAATGAGAACTCAGATGGGCAAGACTAAGCATGCACACGTGACTGTGTTGGTAAATATTAAACAACAACAAAGGACGTTTTCATGTCTTTTTAAAGCCTTTTATGATACAAGTGTTTTTATTTCCCCTCTCCTCCAGAAAGTTTTAAAGTAGGTTTACACAATGCGGTGGCTGAACAAACCTTTAAATGTATAAAAATAGAAGCTCCGGAACTGAAAATGCTTTTGATTTATGACTGCTCTATAATTCTATCAAAGCTTTCATGAAACTGGCATTTCTAGTTCATGTTTTGTTTGCCAGTGTCAAAGCTTTTCAAATATTCTCCATACACTAAAGCTCTTATTTGGAAGGATTCTATTTTTGAGACCAACCCTGGAATGGAATGGAATGGAAAAAAGGCTATTAAGTCTCCTCTCTCACCATATTAAACTCCCTTCTGAAGCAGGAAACTTGCTAGCTATGCTAAATAAATCAGCATCCATTAAAGCTTTCAAGTTATTAGTGTCTAATAGAGAAGCTTGCTACTAATTCTTACATAAAGTGCCAACTACTACTACTTAAAAAAAAAAGAAAGTCTATTGTATTCCAGCACTGGAATCTGCCGATGGCAAGTGCAAGGACATTTTTATTGTTCAACAGCTCCTGACTCCTCATAGGTTTGATGTTCTCTCTTAGTGAGCTAAAGGCACATGCAATCTGTGCTTCAGGACACTTAAGCAATTCATTATGCAAGTACTTGAGGCTGACAGAAGTGTAAATGATTCTCATTATGTATTAAAAGCTCCAACTGCATGAACCCATGAGGTGGGTGTTTCAGTAGGAGCTAGAGGGGAAAAGTGCTCCATCATAGTATGAACCTGTGCAGTTAATTATCTTTTGCTGAAACCAGTGTTATTTAACATGAACATTAAAATTCATCACAATAAACCAGAGGATGGAAATGTTAGTTTAATATTGCTTGCTTAGCCTTCTAGTGTATTTAAAGTTGTCAAATATCAAACCTGTTTAAAAAAAAATCATGGGGGAGGCATTACTACTAGGTACTGTTTCACAACAGGGCTGAACCACAGGCTTTGGTTTTTAAGTCCCTCTCTGAAATCAATAGGATTTAACCATGTACTAAAAATGAAGCACATGATCAAGCACTTTTACATAATTACTATCAGTAGTGCAGGCAGACATTTTGGTCCCCAGGTACCATGCAAAGATCCTAGTTATACATGTCTGATATCTACATCCGATTTTAACAACAAAGGTGTTGTTAAGGATTAGTTGCAAATGTACTTTTTCTACAATGATATGCTTGAGTTAAAAAAAACCCCTTGGTAATTCATGACCATGCTCCCTAACTTAGTAAATGGGGTAGCTACCACAAAGACAGTTGTAAGCATGATGTTTCTGTTTTTAGTTACAATACAAATTAAATTGTGACTATACCAACTAAAATGATAATTATGGAAAAAAGTAGGCAAAAATAAAAAATCTCAGTATACAATTATATATACAATATCCCTTTAAAAAAACAAATTCTGTAAAAGCAGAAAAATGATGAGGGAATTTTTTAACCCTTTAAAACCAAGGAAATGTAAAAATCATTCCAGCTTTACCAAAATTATAGACTTTTTTCTCTTTTTTTAAAAGGGATACTGCATCTTTAAAACATGAAAAGAGTAATTCACCCATGTTCTACTTACAGGTAGTAGGAGTATGAATAGTAGCTCCTCCTGGCAAGCAAATCACAGACAGTGGAAAAAGAGAAGCAATGGTGAATGAAAAGCGTGACTCCGTCACAATCAATAAAGCAGAGAAATGTGCGTTAAAAAAAAAATTGAACAACTCGTGTTTCTTCAGTTAGCATTTCAACTTGCTCATGCACTGATTAGCCTTACTTTGCCATGCAATTAAAAAAAATGCACTCGCATATAAAAATGATTTGGTTTTTAGAAAGATCACTTGAGAAAAAAAAAAATCACATGCTGACATTTCATTTACTGCCAAAAAAATTGAAAAGTAAATGGATTATGTATTTTCAACATGCAGCTCAGCATAATATGATGATCGATTACCACCTAAATGTCATGAGAAAATGGAACAGCTGTGTACATATCTTGTGTACTAAGTATCCTTTTTACTTTTCAGATGGAAAAAATAATTATCATGTTAACAAATACATTCATAATCAGAAAACAGCTAGATTTCATTTATGTGTTTGAAAGTCTTAACTGGTACACAGGTGTACATATGTTTGTAAACATACTGTATGTAAATACATGTGTGTACACATACTATACAACAATGCACATTTTTACAGTAGATGTATGTGCATACTAACGTATATATATACACACACACACCTTTGCTGAATGCAAACATATGTTTTATATATTTAAATCTTAATATTGGAAATGTTGATGTATGCATGCTAAGCATCTAAAATATGGAAGGTAAACAAATGGAAGGAAATGAAGTACATTTGGAAATCATCCAATAATGGTTAAAAATGATATTGATACTTTAAAAATGCAGTATCCCTTTTTGGGGTAGTTTGATTACTTTGTAAAACTCTATAAGAGCTAATAGTTTCATCCAGTTGAACTTCAACTCAATTTGTACAAATGATCAAGCAAAAGCATAAAACATCTTTCAGGCTTGTAAAACCAAAACCAAAACTGCTTAAGTCATTGATTTCTTAAAAAAAAAGATAAAGCCACATTTAATCAAATTTAGGGATCTACGTCAGTGCATGAGACTTATTAAACCTATAAGGATAAATACATTCATTGTTTTGTTGAGTCTTCTATATAACAGGTTATGATCAACCTCAGGTATCAAAAGGGATACTACATTATGGAATCACTGAATATGTATGCTGAAAATGATTAAAATGTATCAGTTTTCAGTCCCACCAAATCTAACTGGAGTGTGTTTATATGTAAGTGCTGGGATTGCTATATCTCTTCATGCTTTTCTTGTACAAGGAGCCCTGATTCACCAGAGGGGTTGAATTAATTTAGGTATGTGTCATGCCATTCTCTCAAAGTTTTATATATTTGTCATATGTGACCTTGACTAATGGATGATCTAAAAAACTGTCCACTTTCCCTAAGGGGGAAAAATGAAAAGACCTATTATATATTCAGTAGACAACCAATTAAACTATCATCATGAAAAATTACCAAACATTAAAGATTCATTAAATAGGTTAATTTTCCCACCTATTTTGAATACAAAATAGAAAAGGAGTTTAGATGTGTTATGTATTTCTAGACATGATCAAGTAGAACTTCTAACAAGTTACTGCCTGCAGGCTTTCAGAGGGTGATGGAGGGGAGGAGAGTTTAAAAAAATATAATTGTACTGACATTATTAAATTGATGTATCAGGAATTAAAGCTTCATTTGACAACTAACAAAAGCATGATCTTAGGAGAATTCTCAATGTAAAATTGAACCAGTTTGCTAATAAATATTTGCACGCACCCCTGAAGTTGTCTTTTCTTACCCACAAGATTAGTCAATCCCATCTGAAAGTGACTGATGATATATTACGTGGACCCAGTCAAACAATCTTGTATCAAATATGAAGGGACCACTGTAATAAAGGGTGAAAAGAAGAGTCCCCGCCCCACCCCAATATATCTTATGATGGCTAGATCAGACATAGTTCCTTGATGAAAGCTAAAAACCTATTATTGCTTATCACTTTAAAACTTGTGTAAAGAAAATAATCAGATTTTATTCATTTTTCAAATATTATGACTTGGTCTTTTGCATATGTGTTAGTTCTCAACCACAGAGGCAGACAACAGAGAAAATTAAAAGCACTTTTGGGAAAATCACATATGTAGCTAACTAACACAGAACACTGTAAGCATACCTAATGTTTCTAATGCAGACGTTTCTTCTCCAAGTTATATATCTCCAGGGGGTAATTGTAAAGAGGCAATAAATTAAAAAAAAATCTAATGGAAACCAGTAATTATAACATATAGTATGATCTTAGGAACAATTTTAAGGTTTTTCTACTTTAAAAAAAAATAGAAAACTTCATTTCAGTTTAACATATGCAACATTTACAAATATATTCTTTAGTATGAATCCTAGAAAAAAAAAGAAAGAAAAAGACTGAAATGCACAAACCTTTGGAAGACAAAGGTCTCAATTTTGAACAAAACAAACTGGCTTGCTCATTCTAAAAGGGGTTGGGGCTGGAGTAATAAAGGGGTAAGGAAAAAGACAGATCTCATTGTTTTTATTAGTAGCTAAAATGTTAGAACTAGGATTTTACAGAACTAGATTATGTAATTTTATGCCAGGTTAAAAGAGTTGCAACTAATGGAAATTTAAACGCTGTTTAAAAAAATGCAAAAGTAAATACTTGAAGTACACATTAAATTAAATTAATTTTGTGCTTCATTATCCTTTTACAATTCCAGAAGATGGCACTATTGGTTATTTTCTGAAGACAATACTTAAAGAAACAAAACAAAATAAAACAGAAAACACCCTGAAGTTCATTCAGATTAATCCATTAAAAATCTGCACTCACAACTCACTAAATAATATAATAGTGCTATAATGTCTTTTAAAAAAATGTTTTCTAGATTTAAATGAACATAGCCAAAAGTATAAAATATTTACATTATTTGGAAAGAAAAGTTGGGCAATATATGGATACAAATAATTCATAAGAACTGTATGTGAAATCAAATACATATAGAAGTTGGCAATATGGAAGGCGCAGAAAGTAAATAAGGATCCATGAATTTCAATTACTTTCATTTTTATATACTCCTGCATACTTCTACAGCTTTACAATTATGACTACCTGGGAAGGAATAACAATCAGAAAATATGCAGCTATTAGATCCCCAAACTCACATTATATATTACATATCTCAAGATTTAAAATAAAAACGTCATAGCAATAAAGGTGGAATATGTAGAAACCACTTAAATGCTGAGAGTATATTTTGAGTTACTGGTCCTCACAAATTGAAATGACCTGTGAAAGAATGGCTTTTATTTTAGTTAGTTTTTTCCTAGATTACTCAATCTAAAGGAAAAAGGAGGGGTCAGGACAGATAAAGTTCTTACCTTTTTTTGACAATTAGTATGACAACTAGGAGGAGGAGGATGAATACCAGAATTCCAGCACTTATTCCTGCTATTTTCACCACTCGGTCTGTCTGCTTGGCTGGATCTGGAATCACTTCTGGTTCCTCTGTTGCTGCTGCTAAATGAATCCAGAAAGAAGTTACTTAAAGTATATAATGACTACAGACAGTAATTTTTGTCAACCGTAATTTCCCTACTGGCAATTTTGTCTGTTTTTAATTCCATATAAAGGCACCTTCTATGAGCATAGTACTTACATGCATGTCCACATGACACACGCGTGTCTATGTGTGCATCACAGAAATGTGTGACCCTGCATGTGTGCATGTGTATAAAATGTGTAAATTATAGCACACACAATACATGCATTCACATGGATTTCTAAACAAATGCAGAATGGTGCTAAATGGAGTCCTGCCAGATACATAAGCTTGTTCTTACTTTCTTAACAACTATTTAAAAGTATTAAAAATCCGAAGCAGTGCCTATAAATGAGCATTCAAGATCTGCATTCAAGATCCTGTATGTTCCATGTCATAATTTCCACACACTAGCAATCTCGGTTTACACCAGCTATCCAAACTTAATCTTGCTTTTATATTATACACTATTATACAAACATGTCAAAAGAAATATTTTATAAGCGTTGGAAATAGATTTCTTGAATAAGTAATCAAATCTCCAATCTTCAGGACAATTATTTTGATCTGTGATTTTGAATGTAGGGGTCTCTCACTCCTGTCTTCTCCCTACATGCTGTTCTAAACTCCTGCCTCCCTTATGTGGTCTCATCTCCACAGCATCTGATTTCCTAACCATTTTTTAATGCATCTACCCTCAAAACACATTTCCAAGTCAGTGATGAGGAACACTGGTAAAGAGACAGTGTAAGTCATGGCGGAACAGAACTTCTCAGGCTTGTTCAGAAAGGCATAAGCTTTTGTAGGCAACAGCCCACTTCATCAGATACTATGAATAGACCTGCAGAGAACAGAGGTACTAACATTAAGCAATTCATCCACAGTCATACATGAAGCCTGTGGTGGTCTCATTTAGAATGAGTGCACTAACAACCTTTTCCCCTTTATCCTTATGCATGGATCCTCACATGAGAATCCTGTGATGAAGCCAGGAATAGAATCTATACGTCTGGAGTCCCAGAGTCCTTCAAACCCAAGGACCATCCTTCTCAGTTGAAATGCCAAGCATGTTACAGTGCTTTTCTACTACAATACACACAGCCGTAGATGCAATGGACCTGTTCTGTGGGTAGAAATCTGTTTCCATGCCCACTTAGACACACAAGTTTAAACAATATAATTGGATGGACCGAACACATGTATTGTTTGCTGCTGTCATTACTCCTATTTTTATTGTGGTAGAATACAACAGAACATGGTTATAAAACATATGGCCTGAAGAGCTGCTCCATCTGACCCACCAGGCTACCAGTGAGCTAACACAGGTTGGAGGTGTGGTCAGAAGTAGACATGGCCCTTTGTGGCATGTGGGTGAGTGAGGGCTATGCAACAGAGGAGTTGGGGAATAAGAAAAATAGTTGGGGAAACACTGAGGTCCCGGAGGGGAGGGGAGTCGGGTGTCCAAGAGGAGTGGTCGTTCCTTAAGGAGATGATCCTCCATGCCCAAGGGGAGGTAATCCCAACAAGGGTCAAAGGGGGCAAGAGGGTGCAAAAGCCCCCATGGCTCACCAAAAACATACGGGAACAACTCCTAGCTAAAAGGGAGGTGTACACCCAATGGAAGGGAGGGGCCATCACCATGGAAGACTATACCTCGGTTGCTCAGGCCTGCAGGGGGGAGGTCAGGAAGGCAAAAGCAGAGATGGAACTGGGACTAGCTACCCAGATTAAGGACAACAAGAAGTCCTTTTTTAAATACATAGGGGGCAAAAAGAAGGTACCCGGTAACATGGGGCCTTGCAAGACACGCTAGGAAATCTGGTTGTCGCACCAGACGACAAGGCTAACATATTTAACTATTTCTTTGCCTCCATTTTCCTGAGCAGGGACCAGATCAGCCCATCCGCCGGGACCCCCTCAGGCCCCAGGGGAGGTGCACCCAGGCCTAGGGTCAGTGAGGATCTATTCAGGGAACTTCTGGAGGGTCTGGATGTATTTAAATCAGCTGGTCCTGATGACCTCCACTCCAGAGTGCTGAGGGAATTAGCAGAGGTCATTGTGGGACCCCTGGCATGGCTTTATGAGCACTCATGGTGCTCTGGTGTGGTACCAGAGGACTGGAAAAGGGGCAATGTGGTTCCCATTTTCAAAAAAGGAAGGAAGGAGGACCCAGGGAACTATAGGTCAGTTAGTCTTACCTCGGTCCTGGGTAAGCTTTTTGAGAGAATTATCCTGGCACATGTCCACGAAGGGCCAGCAGGGGAGGTTATGCTTAGGGGCAACCAACACGGGTTCATTAGAGGCAGGTTCTGTGAGACCAACTTGGTGGCCTTCTATGACCAGGTCACAAAATCCTTAGACGTAGGGGTAGCAGTGGACGTAGTCTTTCTGGACTTCAGGAAGGCCTTCAACACTGTCTCTCACCCCATTCTCATTAAAAAACTAGGGGACTGTGGCATCAACACCTACACAGTCAAATGGCTTGCTAACTGGCAGGAGGGCCACACCCAGAGAGTGGTGGTGGATGGGTCATTTTCGACCTGGAGAGATGTGGGCAGCGGGGTCCCCCAGGGCTCAGTCCTCAGACCTGCGCTGTTCAACATCTTCTTCAGTGACTCGGATGAGGGGGTAAAAAGCACCCTATTCAAATTTGCTGATGACACTAAGATGTGGGGGGACGTGGGCATGATAGAAGGGAGGAATAGGCTGCAATTGGACCTAGACAGGTTACAGGGGTGGACAGATGAGAACAGGATGGGTTTCAACACTGCTAAGTGCAAGGTGCTGCACCTGGGGAGGAAGAACCAGCAGCATACCTACAGGCTGGGGAACTCCCTTCTTGTCAGTACGGAGGGCGAAA